CTACAGTCACTAATTTGACTTTTATCACTACAACTGTTACTTTGATGAAGTGTTTCCCTAAACCGGTTTGGAAAAAACGAAAGACGCTGCCAGTCCAACAAAACTTCTCTTGAATATTTATTTTAATGCATTGATGCTTGTATGCAAGCTCAATACAATTTCACTGATCAGAGACACATTTGCCATTTCTGGTATTCATGGAGTGTATTGAATGACCACGTCCATTGATTACGATCTCCGTCCTCTGAAGCCGCAGATGTTTCCTGTTATTGTCCTTTTTTGTTTGTTGGTAAAAGTAAAACAAATCGTAGCTTTGGATAATTTTGTTGTGTGATTTACAATCCACAACACTACAGCTTTTAGGCATGATACAACTATTTGTTCAGCTTGGTGGTGATTTTTTGTTTACCCCTGAAAGTGGGCGGGATTGTCATTTTACCAAGCTGTAATGTAGCACTATTCTCATCTAAACATCCATGGCGTGGTCGCCCAAAGCTACGTCAACGCCTTCGTCATGCAGCAGTGGGCGGGATTACATCTAAACCGGGACGGAGACAGGCAGCAGTTGCTATCAAACATTCATGCACTATATGTGTCTGGCACTTTATTTGCAAAACGTTTAAAAACTGAAAAGTTTTAAGTGTCTGATGCATCTACATGTGTCACATCAAAGGAACCAAAACTGTAAAGAAGAGTTGGTTTTGCACACCACTACTGATAATATCCTCTGATTTATTTATCTCTCCTAACGTTCATCCCATTTTTCTTTTCAAGGAGAGGAAAATGCTTTATCTTCCTCTTTGAACGTCCCGTGTCTTATTTCCTCTCCTAACATGCGGTCCTTGAATGCACCAGATAACAATGAAACATTCAGCAGTAGGTAAGAGGCTCTTGTTTTTCTCCCCACTTGAATTATTGCCTGCTCTAATACACATCCCACACTCACGCCTCACAGTTAGACTCTGTCTAGGTATTTACGCTCATTTCCTTTGCATGAAATGTCAACTAATGGGAAACTAATGGATGTATATAACTTGAAGACGCCTTCCATGCTTCCTCTTAAATGGCCAGTGGCCGACACAACAGCCCAGTCATGAGCCGCTTTCACACCAAGTACTTTGCCGTACTTAGTTTCCAGCACTTAGTTCTCAGCACTTAGTTCCCCCATGGAACTAAAGAGCAGATCGCGTTCACAACGGAATAAGTTCCCTGAGGGAAGATTACGCTAATGAAGCCGCTGACGTCACTTCTTCTTCTTGGGTTTACCGGCAGGCTGCAAACAACTTCACGGCGTATACTGCCACCCAAATTCCCCGGCCGGAAGTCCCCGGAGTTGGGGACTGGCTTAGAAGCTTCCGAGTAAATCGCCAGAAGCGCCGACACCTCCTCATCACTCCACCGCTGCCATGTTTTCTTTTGTGTTGCCATAAGTTATTCTCTCTCCGTTGGTGCGCTGGGCTAATGCTAATGCTAATCATGCTAATGCCAGCAAATACAATGGCGGCTTCACAAAACCTTTCAGAGTTTTACGGGGCGTGGTTTGCAATTCGCCCAGCCATTCAGAAATTGGAACTTTTTTCTCCCCAGGAAAGCACCACCTCTCTAGCAGGGACTGAAAATGGGGGTAAAAGTTCTCATGAACTAAGTTCTCTTTTTGGTGTGAACGCAAAATCCCAGGAACTATCGGAACTAAAAGGGAAAAGTACGGGGAAAGGTACTCCGGTGTGAAAGCGCCTATTGGCTGTCTGCAGGGGCCAGCAGGAATAGAGATAGGAGGACATTAAACCTTACTTTTTGTAAGGCCTTTTGGTACCGACTGAAATGAAGAAGAACTGCTAAGACCTTTCAAACTGGTTTCTTTAAAAGAACATTTTAAAGTTTTGAAAACAAAGTAAGATTGCAAGGTATAATCATACACAAATATCATTCAATCAATAAAAAAGAAAACAAAAAGTGGTGTAAGAAATCACATTTTTTAAAGTTGTGTAAGCTTTGAAAAAGAAAATGACTGCTAGTTATCTTGTTTGTATCTGGAAATTGGTAGTTTGATTTATTTAATAAATGTATTTGATTTAACCTAAGGTGTCAACCTATAATGTCTTGGTTTGTCTGATTGAAACATTTTTAATCGTTGATAATTACTTTCATTTTCTCTCAAACAACTTATCCATTGCCTCATTGATTTTGCAGCTTTAAATAAACACATTTAAGTCAAGGATGAAAAATACTGTTTGGTAAATATGCATTTCATCTTCCCTAATACTTAGCCTTGAATCTCTTCGGTGGTCTGGATGAATGGTTGAACAAGATGGGCGATGTCAACGCCCAGATAACATGCAGTGCCCTTTTTCTGAACATAACCCTGGTTCTTTTATAAGTAATTAATCAGAATGAGGCATATAGATGGCAAATCAGAAAACAGTTAAATAAACTACCATTGGATCAGTCCCCAGTCATTGTAGAAAATGCTGTCAGACCATCCGCAGTAAAGAGCGGTGATATTGGACAATCTTAAACACCTATACAGAATGTTCAATGAAAAACAGGTCTGGTAGTGGAACCACATTATAGTTAAATATCTTGTAGTAAGTAACCACAACCTTACTGTGTTTCTGACTAACCTCTCCATTGGGCAAACTTCCTGCAATGTGACTAGCAATGTGTTGAGAGGTGTCTAACTACTTATGTGAATGAGGGTATTGCTAAGACCTATTTCTGCCTAAAAGTTTGAGAACTAGTACGTCAGAAATAATTCTGAGTCAACACAGCAACACAACATAAATGGGGTTTAAGAGAACTGCTCAACTCTGGCACGAGTATGTTGGACATGTCAGAACCAAAAGCTGACGCAATCCTTGAAAAATAAATGTCTTCGTCATCTGAGAGACAGCTCTGTGCTTGAAAGACATTTTTACAAGATGTTACATCCAAGTATATTTCTCGTTCCTAGAAAAATATATATGAGCAAGAAAGCAAGAAAATGGCACAATTTATAAAATAACATACACGAGACCTTCCATTTTAAATTCAACACTGAAATTACTGAAAGGTTGACAAAACAATTACATTCAACGTTTCAGTTTTAGAAAGAAAAATTCTAGATTTTAGAAAAATACTTCCACAATGGGTGCTTTTCTCGGTTCCCATTGTCACTGTGATGTTGGGAACAAGCAGCTCCAACAGGAATAGAGACTGCTTGTCCCCAACATGTCAGCCTGAGGGGGAAATTCAGAGCTGACATTTTGGGGTCAGCGTGCAAAGTCCCTGAGAAAAGAACCCTCAAAAGTCGATTTTCAAGAAGTGTTCTTGCTGTGGTCTGCCCACTCTTAAAATATGAATCTTGAATAAAAGCCAATCCCTAGTGATATGCTATAAAGCAGCCACATTACACACACTCTTCCTTGAAAGCCAGCGTGAATAACAGAAAAATAAGTTGAATTAGTTTCTGTTGGGATGCAGAGGATTTGTATACCGGCACTGTGCCCTGTGAGGCTCCTGACCAACCTCTCCTTATAGCTGGGTGCTTTATTATAACAATACTGCCAGCTTACTCTTATTATAAAATACATCCTGAAGGTTGACTGTATACACAAATACTACCAAGCTTAAATATGTATGTTATAGAGAGAGAAATTAACCTAAACAAAGTATTTTTTTGTTTGTTATTTATTATATTTTAAGAATGGAGATAGTCCTGTCCTCCCACAGATGTCATGTATATCTGATTGCTGGAATGACATCAGTTTCCTTAGCAGAATCAAGAAATTGTTCAATGACAATTAAGTAAGCACAAACAGAATGCTCCAAATGTAAGTTTATTACTGCAAACATTGGCTTTACAGTAATGTTGAAGATTTATCTCATCGAAAAAATTGTGATGACATACAGAGTACTTGTAGGTTTTATGTTTTTATTTACATCATAGTTCTAATAGCTACATCCCCTTTTAAATCAGTCTTTGAATCTTTATTTTTCATCTTAGTTTGTATTATTTGTTTTTTATTATTATGATTTTTGTAATTGTTTATTTATTTTATAGGTTTACATTTTTTATTATATTGATGAAAAGTGTATGTATGAAAAGTCCTATACAAATAAAGCTTATAATAATTATTATTTGTATTACATGTTACAAAGTGACCATAAATGGAATGATGGCAAAGGTTAAGCTCATTTGTTGGTTAGGGTTAGGGGTCACATGGTAGAGCTGGCAACCAATGAGGGTCAGTCCCCGCTTGTGAAGACCCGGGTCCAAATCTGGCCCACGGACAAACTATTGTGTACAAAACTCTGTCTCCCCATATCGACTCTGTCCATCCAATAAAGGCACACCAAATGACCTTAAATAAAAGCAGCACAAGACCAATTACGATGCACAAGTGTAATTGTATGAAAATAGAGGATGGCCTTGCTGCAAAAGAGCGATTAGGAACCCTGCTTATTGGGAACTTGGTCAATTCTGCAACCCACAGTTTAGATCTAGCACTAATGTCCGTGCAGGAAGTAGTGTTGTATTTATGGAGCTCAAAGCTCAGGGTTGTGCAGGTTGAACATGTAGTGAGTGTGACTCTCTCGCACAACACACACATTTCTGTCTCTTTCTTTACCGTAACCATGAACTTACCATGGTGTAGCTATTAAACAGATATCCCAAAATATTTGTGGGGTGGGGCATTGTGCCTTTAAAAAAGGTATTCCAAGGATTGAAAACTCATTCAATATCAATCTGCCTAGTGATACGGCTGAATAACCCTCTATTTTTAGAATCCTATATTATTATTTTGGGCTGGTTTCACAGATGCAATAATAGAGTTTTTTAATCAAACTTCATAAAATCAGACTTTTCAATAACACAACCTTTTAGTTCTAGACGTGTACCGTTGTAATGGAATCCTTACAGCCTGGCTTTTCTTCATCTTCAGCTCTGACATTTTGTGAATTCCTTTCTGACTTCATGTGGTCTCTACAGTCACATGGATGTGCGACAGGATGAAATACTCACAGTGAATAGGGTGAAGATTATGAGGTGGAAGAACCACCTGATGTCAGGACTCCATTTTCACACCTGCGCAGTGCCTGGGGCTCCGAACACATCCTCATCCTCACAGCCTCCTGCAGGGAGACAGACAGGGACACGTAAGCAATCACTGCAATGCACCCGTCTGGCAGACTCCAAACTATATTAAAGCCGTAGTCGTATGACTTTTCAGAGCATTCTACAAACATCTGTATGTCTGACGGCACAGAATATCGATCCCCTCTGTTCTACTTTTGTCATTGAGCCTTTAGCCTTCAGCCACAGAAAGAAATGACAACATAAAAACACATTTGGGCAGTGTGTTGCCTTTGAAATATGTTGATACTATTATTAAAACATCAACCTTGAATAGACACTAGCTGCTTCCAAATTCATCAAAGTGCAGATTGATGTTTCTGTATTTCTAGAAGCTATAGAGATCACCAGTATGGTTGTGTTCAGATCGCATGCTAAGTAGATCTCTGTGTGGTTTTATGTTGTCATTAATGTTTTTTCCCTTGATCAAATGTCCGGTGTTTCCCTGGAACAATATGGATCGGTGTTCTCTTCTCATTAATGACCAGCTCGCTGCACATTATTCAGCTTATTACATGGCTACGTACAAAATACTGTCCAAGTCTGTTCACATTTTCATTTACATTAACGAGTCTTCAAACACTGCCAGAGCCCATACAGTGTTCCTGTTCCTATGCTGTTCCATTTAGTGTTTACTTCCTGTCTGTCTTCTTCTGTTGATTTTTGTGGTCCAGCTCTCTGAGTCCTTTGACCTCTTTCCTTCTCTTGCCCTGGTTGCAGTCGAATAGTCCATTTAGCTTAGGAACCTTCCTAACCGAGTGAAATGACCCGGAAGTCCCTCAGTGGCAGCCATGATAAGTGCCGTTCAAATTCTCTAAATGATAGGAAAGGAGGTTTCAAACTTCCTTTATAACCTCCTTTAGCTTAGGAACGACTGGACCTCCCTTGACGAAAGGAGAGGAGAAAATGCTGCCCCACAACGCCTTGCAGCCGCAGCATTTGCCGTCACACAACAGTCGGCCGTTCACGGAAACAACTGATTATGACGGAGAAATGATATCATGAAAGTTACGGTGCTTATTAAGCATTTTAAAATGTATGTGGTAAGTTGCCAAAGTGCTTTGTTTTGAACGTTCATCAGTATTATAATCAAAAAGAGAAATATGAACGTTAGTTTTTACTGAAATGATCAAATAAAGTCAACATCTCACAGTCTTTACTGAGCTGTGTGGGGTTTGTTCAACTTCTAAAAGATGTTTGAATGGTGATATACACAGTGATAGATGTTAAGGACTAACGTTTATAATAAATACATTTGTATTGATTTTAAGATATTTTCATACAATCATACGTATTGGGATCATTTGTATTAATGTGGACCGGAGGGAGAGGGTGACGAGCATAAGTTTCACTTTCCTTTTTTATTTCAATTCCAACTTTGGTCATGAAGAATATGTTTCTCTGTTGTCCACGTTCATAAAGCATAAAGCAACAGCATCAGAGCACGGTGCAGAGTCTCTAGATGAGTTTACAGTAGTCCCTCGTTCTTATTAAACATCCATGTTGTAGTCCGCTGTATAGAAACTGTAGTTTCCATAGTTTCCCCACAGCAGCAGACGCACATTCATGACGTCCGCTGGCGCATCATAAACACGTCGGATAGTGAAAGTGCAGTCGGATTCTCTAAAGTACCGCGGTCTCTTCTCCTAAGTCCTTTTGAATTCTCCTATCCACTATCCCTTAACCCCGTGACGTTTCACTCAGAGGTCAAGGGATAGACGATAGGGTTAGACGTTAGGAGCTGATTTTTGGACTATCCGACCGCAACCCTGTTTTTACAGATCAGCAATGGTCTACTATATTTAGAACCAGTCTTCTAGTTTAAAAGAGAAGACTAGTATTTCCGAAATTGATATTGAGTATTCTACTAAGCTGTGTAATAGAGCCAACTAACGTTAAACGTCTTGAAACCTCAACCCTTAAACTCATGTTCAAGGCAGACCTCTTGAAATCTCCACAGTGGCTGAATAAATTTGTATCATCAAAGACTGAATTTAAAACCAGTGTCTTTGTCTACTGTACCTTTGTTCTTTCACAATTTAAACTGTGATGATATCCTTTACCATTTTTGGGAACAAAGCGATGACCCCAGAGTTAGATTGCAGCTGATGTTAGCAACCTTACTCATTTTTAGCCAGCACCTAACATCACTTTCCCTGGAAAACATGACAACCTTTAATCGGCTGTGGCAAATTGATGATAATCTATTGTATTAACGCACTGACCTGTTTTTAAAAAACAACAAATTAGGATTGTGCTAAATCCAGTTCTGCACATTTTCTGCTTATAATGCCAATTATTTAGATGCAAGGTTAATTCATCCATGAATGATTAAGCCCCTTCATTCAAACAATACTACCGAACAAACTTGCTTCTTACACAGTAGTTTCTCTATTAATGGTTTGTTCTATATTTCAAATTAATGATATGTTTTCAGGCAATGCTCCAGGGCTAATCTGTTCCCTCTAGTGTGTTACTGTAGTACCACAGGAGCACAATTACTTTATTCTGTTGAAGTATAAGCGGCTTCTTTTTGAAGATTTCAGATATGATCAGTCCTATGCTTACTTTGAATAGTTTGAGTTGCAGCCTAATGAAGAGAACAATAATGTCAACAGTGATGTTGCAATATGAAAGCATCCAAAGTCAACCTACACACTTTAATAATGCTCTCAGTAGTGTTTAATTTGAAGTGTTACCTTTGCCTTTCAGGTTAGGTCCTTGTTTCTAAGCAACAGTATTTTTGGAATTTTTTTTACAGTTTATTATCAAGAGCAGCATTGCATTGTCTTGGTCACAATCTAAAAATGCAAAATGCAAACATTTTATTCCTTTGCTTTGAAACAAACCAAGCATATTATTACACAAACTTTCCCAAATGCAAAAAGTAAGAGTAAAGTTCAAATGTGTGATGTCATCAAGTATAAAGACTGGAGCTTTTCCAGAGACAATGAATAGGTAAAGATGATACAGATGAGGTACAAATATGGGTGAAGTGTCAAAGCTGGAAACACTTTGATAGAATAAAACTGATTTGGGTAATAAAATAAAGAAATAAAATAAACATTCTGTCATTCACACAATCCCACTCTTATTCATTGCCTACGTTGCAGCTTCAGACGTTATACTTGATGACATTAAAAGTTTGAGACTTAGCATTGTTGGCAGATCTGAAGGCCATGGAAAAGACTCTGGATGTCTTAATTAGTGTGAATGCTGTGCAGCCTCTTGAGGGCATGAAGTGACAGAAACGTTCAACATGTCTCCATTAAGGCCCATTGTAAATTCAGCCTGATATTTCGTCAGAGCAGCAGCTACACACCTTTAGTAAATCTGCCAAAAATGGCACATTATTGAGCCGAAAGTACACAAACAGCAGACTCAGACGCTCGTCAGGTTCCTGACATGCTGCACGCGTTGACATTTTACCGATAGCAGCTACCGTTTTTAAACTATAGTTAGAAATGTAAGAGGTTTATCTCTCATTCAAATCAATGAGATACTGCACATCTCCATGGTAACCTTTGATCTCTGCACACAGTTGTTTGATAACGTTGTCACCATGGTGACCTTTGATCTCTGGGCTTACACACACAGGTGTTTGATAACGTCGTCACCTCAAACACAAACACACAAGCCTCATCCCAATACCCCTCCTCGACTCCTCCTTTCCCTCACTCGCGTCCCTTCCTTGCGTCTTAGCTCCGCCTCCGTAAGATGTGAGCGAGAGACACGAGGAGGTGACGCGAGGACAGAGGAGTCCTCAGGTATTAATTGGGAGGTCCTCGTTCACTCAAACGTCACTTTTAAACGACGTCTGTTAATGATGACATGCGCACAGCTGTATCCCCTCTCATCGGGCTTAACTGAATAACCCTTTAGAACCGGCCCATTTGTTGTTAAATATTTAAATGAATGAATCTTTCTCTTGTTAGTCAAGGAATTCAATGTATGATGGTTGGTCCTGTTTTTGTGTTCCGTTTTGGTGTAAAAGGTAGCCTACATTTAAATAAAAAATATAATGTGTGAAAGCCTTTACTCTGAAAATGTGTGTCCTGTAGATCCCCACATTCACCACAAACCCACATTCAGGACTGTGAATTTTAAATAATTTAACTCCTGAATATCTTCACACAAAACAATACAAATAATTGTTATTTATCAAGATCTATTCATTTATGAAATAGCTTTCTTAATAGCTATGTTTCAGTGACGTTAAAGATCATTAAACATGATTTAAATTGTTAGTATAACCTTAAGAAATGAATTGCACATAATAATTCCCACGGAGCAGTGAGCACTTATACATTTATGTGACGCTTTTCCACTCATCTTCCAGTTGTCGGTTTTCCTCTGTTGAAATGGACCAGCTGTGAAGGTGGGGGCGGGGCTTTTATACACGAGTAGTAAAAACACTTCCGCGTAGTCTGCTCTCGTGTATCCTCCCGCACCCCTCCTCGACTCCTCCACTGTGCATTTCAGCTATTGGGACGTCCTTCAAAATGGCGTGTCTTGATCGATTTCCGGGTCAAGTCCCGGAGGAGGGGGAGAGAGGAGTCGAGGAGGGGTATTGGGATGAGGCTACAGACTGGAGTAGACAGAGACCATTCAACTACTAACATATTCAGCTTTTTCTGCACTTTCAGCTAAATTCAGCAACAAATGTACACAGTTTACAGCATTCACATATGCACATATATCTAAAAAAAATAGATCCAATGTGGCATATAATGCAAATAGTTGACAATTATTAGGTAATACTTATACATTTTAACCCCATTATGCTTTTGGGGGACAAGACATAATATGTGTCTGCTTTATGATTGTCTGAGTGTTTTTTTGTTCGAGCACGCTGAACCAGTTTTAAGGATGTCACCATGTTACCAGATCTCAGCATTTGCCTTGGTGAGATTCATATTATCATAATTGATAGAACAATATGCAAGACTTTATCTTTGAGTGAATTTAAAGTTCCTATCCACAGATTAGATTTCAAAGA